CATCTGGACCAGGAGTTTTCTTTGTGGAGTTCCAACTTTTTAAATAGTTATAAAGCTATTCAGAATTTTTTTTGCAATTCAAAATTTTTATAGATTATACTCCATTTAAAGTTATTATAAAACTGACCATATTCCCTGTGCTGTACAATATGTCCTTGTAGCTCATTTATCTTATACACAGCATCCTACTTTTTTTAGTTGAACGTCAGAGAATTTTGGACTGAATTGCTACAGAACTCCTCACCAATGACCTTCGTATTACTAAATCCAATAATCCTCACCTTACTTGAACTTTCAGCAGATTTGATGCAGCTAATAACCTCTTTTTCCTTGAAATGTTATCTTCACTTAGGATACCATGTTCTCCTGTTTTGTGTTTTATTTTGTTTTGTCTTGTTTTTTTCTACCTCACTGGCTGTTCTTATCTGCCCTTAATGTTGGAGTGTTCCAAGCTTAGCCTTAGATGTGTTTTCTCTATCTATACTCACCCACTTGTTGATATCCAGTTTATTTGCTTGAAAACAGACAGACACACACATGTTCCCAAATGAATACACTTACCCTGGGAGCTCTCCTCTGAGTTCCAGATTCATATATCTAGCTGCTCTAGCAGCTCCATCTCCATTTGGACGTCTAATAGCCATCTCAAACTCAATTGTCTAAAACTGAACTCCTGACTCTCCAGTTCCCAAATGCTTCATCTGTAGTCTTTCCCATCTCAGTTGATGGCCACTCCAGATCATGTGACCCCTATGTTCACCGTCTTCCAATGGCTCCCCTTTCCACTGCAAGGAAAATGTCAAAGTCCTTACAGTGGCATATAAGACACTACGCCAGCTCATCTCCCTTACTCTCAACTCCAACCACTTTTCTTTGAATAACCCGAGCACATGCCTACCTCAGGGCCTTTGCTCTTGCTACTTCCTCCATCTAGAGGAGTTAGCTAAAGCCTCAATTATTCAAGTCCTTAATCAATTTAAAGTTAATTGCCCAATTTAAAGTTGAAATCACCCCTCCTTCCCTTCCAATACTCCCTGTCCCCTTTTCTGCTTTATAATTCTCTGTAACACTTATCGCCAGCTAACATACTTCAATTCCATATTTATTTTTTGGGTTACCTCACTGAGGCTAGGAGTTCTCTTTGTTTTGTTCTTTGATGTATCCCTAGTGCCTAGGACAGTGCCAGACATATAGGGAGCAATGATAAAAAAGGATTGAATGATGGAATGGATGAAATATGTCCAGGCCTCATGGTCCAGAAAACAAGGGGCCCAGCTTCCCTCTACTGTGGCTGAAGATCCCTCCACGAACAGCACTGAACTTCATGTGGCAGTTTTCATACCACTTAGAGCCATTTCTCACCATCTCCACCACTGACGCCACCACTCCCCACCCCAGCGTAATGCACCGTCCCCTCTTGTCTGGATTGTTAACAGCAACTTCCCAGCAGGTCTGCTCATTTCCTCTTTTTTTAAAAAAATTTATTTTATTTTTGGCTGCGTTGGGTCTTTGTCGCTGTGCGCGGGCTTTCTCTAGTTGCAGGGAGCAGGGCCTACGTTTTGTTGCAGTGCGTGGGCTGCTTATTGCGGTGGCTTCTCTTGTTGCAGAGCACATGCTCTAGGTGCGCAGGCTTTAGTAGTTGCGGCACGTGGGCTCAGTAGTTGTGGCTCTCAGGCTCTAGTGCGCAGGCTCAGTAGTTGTGGCGCACAGGCTTAGTTGCTCCCTGGCATGTGGGATCTTCCCGGACCAGGGCTCGAACCCGTGTCTCCTGCATTGGCAGGCAGATTCTTAACCACTGCGCCACCAGGGAAGTCCCCGTGTGCTTTATATTTATTTTGTCTGTCCCCTCCTCATAAACTTTGTGAAGGCAAAGTTCCTGTCTGCTTTGCGTACTACTGTATCTCCCACGCTTCCCAAAATGTTTTTGTAGAAGGAAGGAAGGAAGTCCTTTGTTCAGAGTAAATGCACAGTGCAGGTATATGAAGAAAATGATGGAAAGGAAGAAAGAAAAGACTTGCAGGCTGACTCCACCCCTCCTTGAAAGGGTACAAGGAAGAGGAATGAATACCCAGCAAGCAGCGCTGCCCCACCCCACCCCACCCCACCCCACCCCTCCCGGCCCTCCCAGCCCTCAGTCCTGGTACAGCTCCACCCTCCCCTCACCAAGTACAAAGAAACTTCCTCTGCAATTAGTTTTAGTCTGAGTTGCAGGGCTTTGGGGGTGAAGAGCCTGCAAGATGACTTATGGGAAGAACAGACTCTGGTGTCCCAATCGCACGCAGTGTTTTGAAACTCACAGCCAAGCCTCTTTGCAACACCGTGCTCACCCGGGGCTAAGCTACTTCTGTTTCGGGCAGTGTGGGCTTGAACTCTGGAGGCCTGGGTGCTCCCTAATGCCACCTGCTTAATGTTGCCTTTGGGGTCTCAGCTGTAAAGTGGGAATCACGACGGTAATCACCTTAACGTGAGGAGGCTTGTAACTGTCCTCTGTACCTGCACAGGAGATTTGAAACTGGCAACTGTGGATCAGGTGTGACTATGTCCCTGTGTGAAGTCCCAAGGGAGGGGATCCATGTGATTCCCTCTAATGACCCTCCAGTGGAGAGGGAGGGGCTTTCTTCAAAACAAATACTAGATGTCAGCTTTGCTCGCTGATTACTACTTGTTTTGGAGGTGTACGCACCTACTCGGAAGGAGTTGAACTAGCTGCCGGAATGATTAAGGAAGGCATTTTTCAATAAGTATTATCACACAACGATCCAATCAATACAGGCATACAGGCGACCGTGTAAAGTGTAAAATCTGCTCGGGTAACACTGTGCCTCGTCATTTTTTTGAGCATACTTACAACGGAGGGCTGGTCCCGGGGTTATTGGCTGTTATTCAGGCTCAGTTGACTCAAGTCCAAGATCTATGGCATAGCAACCATTCTGGTGCAAAGCAAGACTTTTCAAGATCTTGCAAGACCTACAGAGGAGCCATAAGGACTGTATGGACTATTCCTGGCATGGTTCACAAATCCATCTGCCTGTCAGCGGCGCCTCAGGTCCTCTCTGAAATTCTGGCCTAAACTTGTATCAGCTCTGTAATTGGTACCTATGGACCTACAGGGTGACATCCCTGGAATCTGGAAATCAAGCTGCCCTCTAGAAGTCAAACCCTTCAGGTCCACACATGATGGACAGGATAAGTTATCTGCACAAGGCCCCAGAGGGAACAGGACACCTCCCTGCTTGGGCTTGGAAATGCGATCCAGGCATGCCTGCATGTGAAGAAAGCAGGAGCCAAATGGAATCTCAGAAAAGCTTCTGGACAGCAGGTAAGTGGCTCCAAAGAACCCAGAAGGTACCACAGACCTTAGGCCTGTTCTGCAACAGTAACCAGAACAGAGAGGGACCCAGTGGGCAAGATATATCCCATACACCAAGGACAGCCATCCTACCACAATGACATTACTAACATATCACTCATGTGATTCCCTTTGCCCAGGTTCATGCTCACTAAAGCCTCTGATTTTGACTCCCTTTGCAGGGGACCGCATGAATGGAGCAGTCACCATGACACCAAGTCTCTGGCCCTGTAGCACTTATATTTCTCATTACAAATTAATAAATGGCAAATTTGACTAGGCCTCTTGTGAGACTATTTTTTCTTCTCGGAACACGATCGACTCTGATTTTAGGTTTGCAAAGCTGATATCCAGACCTCACCCGGGGATGTGCATGCAGCCTGCACATGCAGGCCACCACACCTTCACCTACTTTCTTAATCAATACTTACAGACTACTGACCACAGCCCCAAATGGGAGAAAACCTTCCTGCACTGCAACCCTGGGCCTGGATGACTCAGCCAGCCTCTAACAACCTGGTAAATATATTTCTTTATGTTTCTTTCTTTTTAAAACATATTTATTTATTTTGGTTGTGCCGGGTCTCAGTGGCGGCATGGAGGATCTAGTTCCCCAACCAGGGGTCGAAACTAGGCCCCCTTCATTGGGAGCCTGGTAAATATTTCTAATGGCAGCAGTGACATTAAGCGCAATTTCAGGAAATGGCGAGCCAGCTTACACTGCCCCAAATCAGGGTGCTTTTCTGGAGTACAGTCATCTACCCAATCGTAATAATGTACACCAAAAAACAGAACAAAGAGCTGTCATCATGTCATTTTCTAAATGTTGCTTTGCATATGATCCAGCATCTAGTGATGGCATTAAACTCCTGCATACATCAAGGAGCAACATACTTATGGACTCAAAGATCCTTTCTAAGTAAACTGAGCTACATCTACTGGGCAGCTGTTTAAGCCAGGACATTGAAAACATGTTTATGAAGTGTTTATACATCAGTAGGTTAAAAATTTTGTGATAGCCAAGTGCAAATTTAGAATATAATCTTGTAATTTAAAACTCTATTTTTTATCCAAAAAAGCCCTGTGTATAGAAAAAGGAAACAGGGATGAAATATATAGGATTAACAGTGAGAATTTGGTGGAAGGATTCTAGCCCATTTTTCACTTTTCTGTTTTCTTTTCAAACGTTCTGTGAAACTTTATTTTTATTTATTTATGTTTTTGGCCATGCTGCGCGGCTTGTGGTATCTCAGTTCCACGACCATGGATTGAACGCAGGCCCTCAGCAGTGAAAGCGTGGAATCCTAACCACTGGACCGCCAGGGAATTCCCAAATCTTCATTAATTTTAAGTAAAATACAGAATACATTCTAATTTTCTAAGTTACCTTTTGAAGAAATGTATGCAACCAAGATGAATGAAAACAGAGACTACTTAAACGTCTTAAGTAATTTTCCCACTTGTTGCAAACAACAGAGAAAACACAGGATCAAACATGTGGACTGAGGCAGGCTTGCAAATGAGCCAAAGACCTAATAAGACAGCCAATGCCAGGAATGAACTGTGGGGACAGTCACCATCAGGCCTGCTGACACCATCTTGAGAAGCAACATTTCCCAAGAAGGGGGAGGGTTGGCTTAACCTGACCCACCTGTGTCCAGAAGTGTCATGATGATGGGGGACACGAGCAGATTGCCTTTGCAAATCCCCAGCATGATGCCAAATCCTCGGCCAGCACAAGGGTTGCTGTTTTGGTGCAGCCAGGGCGGGTACGCTTTGTCTTCCATTTCTGAGGATGGACCCCAGAAAAGAAAGCCTGAAGTCTCAGATTCTGACACTGTCAAAAGCATAACGAAATTAAAGTAGTAAATCTGGATCTTGTTGGAGGCTCTCCACCATTCTAGTTGCCCTGAAATCAAATGAGTCTCGCGCTGATGAATACGCCCAATTCCCCTCCATCCCACTGTAGAAACAAAAGCGGCACTGACGTTCCTAACAGATGTTTCAAGCACCTGCAAGTTTCTGGAGCAGATTAATTCTTGCCTTTGCATCAAGATAATTTGCATTTGAAACCTACTTCCCAAAGGATATGGAGTTCAACACATCACTAACACAAACCTTTCTAGGTCACCCGCCCCCTCCCACCTTTGAAAGAAACAAAGCTCCTCGGAAAATACGCCATAATAAGCAAGTTGCTTCAAAATTTTAAGACATCGATCCTGGGCAGTTGGCTCCCACCCATACTTATTTTACATGAAGCTTCCTACTGCATGTGCTTACATTTCCTGAGAAAAGGAACAGGAAAGGGCTGGGCTAGCTTAACTTGACCTACCTTGTGTCCAGAAGTGTAACGACAGGGGGTCATGGTTGCACCACCTTTGCAAGTCTAATAGCCACCTCTTTTGACTTTTTTTTTTTTTGACTTTTCTTGCTTGCTCTCAAATTTCAGACTTTCTGTGAACAAGGCATGTCAACAGCGCCACCTCTGGGCGGAGTGTGGTTCCTCTCAGCTTCCTAGCCCAAAATCAGCAGGAGAAAATGCCCTAATTTGGGGGCAACTGATCAAGTTGACTTGTGTCCCCTTAGAGGATGAGTGGAATGGTGCACAGGGCCTCCTGAGAGCCATTTCAAATGGGGAGATTTTGAGATAATAAAAATTATCAATCCAGTGCCGGGGACAAGCATACCTGGGGGTGCGGTTCTTTGCTTCTTGATTCCTGCTGGGAAAGCACACACAAGGGGTTCCCTGGGCTGATGGGACAAATGACCTTAGGAGCAATGGGAGCTCTGCACCAATCCCTTCTCTGCTCCAGACCAACAAAAGCTGGACAGTAGGAATCACATTGCTCTTTGTACCACAACTTGTCTGGGAAAAAAGAGAATGTGAAGATCAGGAAGTTGGGTGATCAGGCTGCACTTGACACACAGAGGGGCTCAGTAAACAGTCCGTTGAATCAGTGAACAAAGCTGCTGGGAGGAACTTGTGCCCTGGGGCAGCCAGTGCTGCAGCTCTCAGCCGGCTGTCTCCCCTTTTTATTTTTATTTAAAAAAAATTTTATTTTTGGCTGCGTTGGGTTTTCGCTGCTGCACGCAGGCTTTCTCTAGTTGCGGTGAGCAGGGGCTACTCTTTGTTGCGGTGCACGGGCTTCTCACTGCGGTGGCTTCTCTTGCTGCGGAGCACGGGCTCTAGGCACGCGGGCTTCAGTAGTTGTGGTGCATGGGCTCAGTAATTGTGCTTGCAGGCTCTAGAGCCCAGGCTCAGTAGTTGTGGCGCACGGGCATGTGGGAGCTTCCCAGACCAGGGCTCGAACCCGTGTCCCCTGCACTGGCAGGCGGATTCTTAACCACTGCGCCACCAGGGATGTCCTGCCTCCCCCTTTTTAGTCCGAGTTCCTGGTGCTCAACCACAGCTCCACAGACCAGCCCCAGAGCATTCGCTGCCCCTTCTGGTGCTACAAACATCACCTTCTAACTGGGACTGTGAAGTCAGGGAGACCTCCTGACACAGGTGGGTCAAGATCCAAAGGGCATAAAGAAGCTGTGGCACATATATACAATGGAATATTACTCAGCCATAAAAAGAAACGAAATTGAGTTATCTGTAGTGAGGTGGATGAACCCAGAGTCTGTCATACAAAGTGAAGTAAGTCAGAAAGAGAAAAGCAAATACCATATGCTAACACATATATATGGAATCTAAAAACAAAACAAAAAAATGGTTCTGAAGAACCTAGAGGCAGGACAGGAATAAAGACACAGATGTAGAGAATGGAATTGAGGACACCAGGAGGGGGAATCATAAGCTGGGATGAAGTGAGAGAGTGGCATGGACATATATACACTACCAAATGTAAAACCGATAGCCAGTGGGAAGCAGCCGCATAGCACAGGGAGATCAGCTCGGTGCTTTGTGACCACCTAGAGGGGTGGGATAGGGAGGCGGGGAGGGAGACGCAAGAGGGAGGGGATATGGGGATATATATATAGGTGTAGCTGATTCACTTTGTTATACAGCAGAAACTAACACACCACTGTAAAGCAATTATACTCCAATAAAGATGTTCAAAGATACAAAGGGCAAGATCCAAAGCCTGACCCAGGGCTATCACGCTACGCCCCCCGACAGCACGCTGGGACAGGAGAGCAAGTGGTCAAGCCACTGTTGCCAATGACCAGACACTGTTCTTGTACATGCGGCGGGGGGGGGGGGGGGGGGGGGGGG